CGATTATGTATACACAATGATGAGACTAGAAAAGAATACTTACCAGAAAAGTATGATCCCTTGTTAAATGGGCCTTCCCGCGGAAGAATAAAAAAAGATATCACGTCGATAAACGATACTTCGATCAAAAAGTTGAGAGAGGAAGGTTATGCTAAATAGACTTCATGCTTTATTGTTGATGTCTACTTTTGAAAAAAAGGAAAAAAAACCATTACAAGTTGGTGAGTTCTCAACTTTATCATCAAGTTTCAATTTAACGGATTCAGAACAACTAACAAAATTTTTAGTAAATGCAATTGAGACAGACGATAAAAAATCTTCTGCAATAGAAAAAATAGGTAAAGAAGAAATTGGTAAAAAAGTCCCCCGATGGTCATACAAATTAATAACTGAATTGGAACAAATATCGTATTTTACAAATCCACCAGATGATCATGATATTCGTTCAAGAAAAGGGATCAGTGTATTAATTTTTGAAGAACCTAAGACTCTCAAAGATAAGACTACAAACAAAGATAAGAATACAAAAGATACAAATATTCAAGCTATAAAATCCGACGATAATGAGAAAGATAAAAATATTAAAAAGAAAAAGGAAGATGAGGATAATAAGCTTTTTTTATTACGATATCCGCACCAATCTGATTTTCGCCAAGGCTTAATAAAAGACTCTATGCGAACTCAAAGACGTAAAATAGTTATTGAGGGACTTTTTAAAGCAAATGCGCATTCCCCTCTTTTTTTTGACAGGATGAGGAAAAAAACCTTTTTTTCTCTACCATACCTGGCTCAACTGAAACGGCTTTTTAGAAAATGGTCATCCATAAAAGAGTTTGGGATTTTAGAATCTACAGAGGAAAAAAAAAATAATAATAAAAAGAGAAACCAAAAAGGAAAAAAAACGACGAGAGGAAATAGAACGGTTAGAGATAGGGGAAGCCTGGGAGACTTTTCCATATACCCAAATAATAAGAGGTTTTTTATTAATAACCCAATCAATTCTCAGAAAAAAGATTCTATTACCTTCATTCATAATCGGTAAAAATATCGGGCGTATGCTACTATTTCAAACTCCTGAATGGTCTGAAGATTTAAAGGGATGGAATAGAGAAACGCATGTGAAGTGTACTTATAATGGTATTCCGTTAGCTGACAAAAAATTTCCGGAAAATTGGTTGACAGAAGGTATTCAAATCAAAATTTTATTTCCTTTCTGTCTCAAACCTTGGCACGAATATAAATCGCTAAATTCTCGTGATGACTTTTGTTTTTTAACAGTTTGGGGAAGGGAAACAGAACACCCTTTTGGTCATCCACGACAAAAACCTTCGTTTTTTAAGCCTGTTTTTAAGGAACTTTACAAATTTGTAAAAGTAAAAATTAAATTTTTAAAAAAGTTTTCAAAAAAAAAACACAAGTTCAAAAGAAACAAGAACAATACACCCGAGTGTAATAAAAAATGAAAAAGATGATCTAATAAATAACCAGATAATGAATCAACCCTTGAGTAAAATTGAAAAAATTACAGATTGGAAAAATTATTCACCGATAGACAAAATGCAGGCTATCACTCATAGGACAAGTACAATTAAAAAAAAACTAGAAAGAATTACGGAAGATAAGAAAAGGGTCACTCTAGAACTTGATATGAACCCTTACAAAAAAAGTTCGAGATTAGCCTTGTCAAAAAATTTTTGTCAAATGTTGAAAAAAAAAAAAATAGATTAATATATAAATTTAATTATTTTATAAAATTATTTATTCAAAGAATATCTAATTGTATTTTTTTATATACTATATCTATTTGCCAAATGACTCAAAAAGTCTTTGTGGAATCAACAAAAATGAACTCTCTTTCAAATTCAAATATAAAAACGCATAATAATAAGCTTTATAAGGAAAATTCAGAGAGTTTTGGTGATTTATCCAACTTGTCACAAGCATATGTATTGTACAAAATATCAGAAAGGGGTTTTTTGAACGTACGTAATTTCATATCTGTTCTTCAACAAAATGGAACATCTTTCTTGATTAAAAAGAAAATAAAAGACTCATTTCATACACAAGGAATACTTCCATCTGAAGGAATAAAAAAACAACTTAAGCGGCCTAGAACGAGTCAATGGAAATTTTGGTTAAAAGGGAATTCTCACTACGATTTATCTCCTAATTTCTGGTCTGCCTTAAGATCACAAAAACAAAAATGGAGAAATAGGGCGAATCGCTATCGTAGGTCTAAACAAAAATATTTAGACAAAAGGACTTCCGGTAAAAAATTAAAATTAAATACTTACAGGAAACAAAAGGATGCTAACTCAGTCTTGAATAAAAAAACAAAAGATAATTTAAAAAAATGCTATCGATATGATCTTTTAGCATATCAATACATTCAGTATGAAAAAAATAGTGGAACCCCTCCAGGAGCTAAACGGGAAGCAATTTCTTATCATTACAAGATGTCACAAAACAACTTGTTTGCGATAACGAAAAATATTCCTATCACTAGTTTCAGAGGAAAAATAGAAAGGTTAAATATTCCATATCCAAAAAAAGATGTCGATAGAAAATATTTGAATTGGAAAAATATTGATTTTTCTCTTAAAAAAAAAGCGAATATTGAGTCCTGGATCACGGGTAATTATAACAATACTCAAAATACTCCAATTTTCACTTACAATTATCAATTAATTGATAAAATGGAAGAAATTTTGAAAATTGAGCAAATTTTTAAAAACGAAAAAGATCCTTTTGCTCTTTTGATTCAGAAAAATACCGAAATGAATCGACTCCATTCTAGAAATTCTTTATTGGATTGGATGGGACTGAATGAAGAAATACTCGACCGTCCATTAACGGCTGAGGAACTTTTGGTTTTCCCAGAATTTGTGTGGTTTGTTAATTTATATAAACTGAAACCATGGATTATACCAAGCGAATCACTTATTTCAAATTTGAATCTTAATGAAATGACAAGTCAAAAGACCGGTAAAACTCAGAAAGATAAAAAAGATAAAACTGAGAGTAAAAAAAAAGATAAAGCCGAGGGTCAAACCAAAAGTGAACCTGAGGGTCAAACCAAAGGTGAAACTCAGGGTGAAACCAAAGGTAAACCTGAAGGTGAAACCAAAGGTAAACCTGAAGGTGAAACCAAAGGTAAACCTGAAGGTGAAACCAAAGGCGAAACTGAAGGTGAAACTGAAGGTGAAAAGAAAAGTCAAACTGAGATAGAACTAGAGTTATTCATGAAAAACTATTTATTTTTTCAATTTAGAGAGGATTTTACTTTAAATCAAGGCCTTTTCCAAGATCTCCAAATCTATTGTCTCTTGCTTAGAATGATAAATCGAAAAAAAATGATGCTATCATGGATTCTAAGGGAAAAGTTAAATTTGGGTCTAATGCCACAGATGGATCAGAAAGAGAGTGTTCCAGATTCAAAAAGAAATGTTCCAGATTCAAAAGAGAGTGTTCCAGATTCAAAAGAGAGTGTTCCAGAATTTTTAAAAAAGACGGGATTTTTGGTCGACCCCCTTCCGCTGTCTATCAAACCAAATGGAGAATTTCTTATGTATGAAACGATAGTTATTTCGTTGGTTCATAAGAGTAAACAAATTCTTAATAAAGAAGACGTAAAACAAAGAATAATTCGCGCTCGAGAGAACAATAATTGTGATCCGCTTCTTATTGAAAATATTTTATCATCTAGGCGTCGTAGAGAATTAAGAACTCTAATTTGTTTCAATTCACACAAATGGAATGGCGTGGATGCAAATTCTCTAGTTTCCAACAAAAATAAAGTTTGGGAAGAAAGCAACCCTGGGCCTAAGGATCAAAATAAATTAATTGAATTTTTTCTTTGGCCTAATTATCGATTGGAAGATTTAGCTTGTATGAATCGTTATTGGTTTTATACTAATAATGGGAGTCGTTTCAGTATGTTAAGGATCCATATGTATTTACCATTGAATTTAAATTGGTGGAAATTTAATTGATAGTAGTACTATCTACCCTGTAGCAGGGTAGATGGTAGCAGGTTAGATGAAAACCAATATGGACACATACCCTATTTTATACCTCATTTTAATTTGGATCTAACTGAATTGAGGATACCATATATCTATCTAGATCTATATAGATATATTGTACCTCATTAAAAGAATATTAAGTTGAAAAAATTCACTTTGATTTTATTAATGAACCCTAAAAGAAAGGGTTTTCTTTTGATTTGAATTGATAGACTTAGTTAGAAGAATTCCTTTTTAGCAATAAATGTCTTTCACATCCAGTGATAACCTGTAAATCATTTGAAATGGCAGTTCCAAAAAAACGTATTTCGAAAGCCAAAAAGCGTATTCGTAAGAACATTTGGAAAAGAAAGACTATTGAGGTAAGATTAAAAGCTCTTTCATTAGCAAAATCTCTTTTAACGGGTAAGTTTCAAAGTTTTTTTTACAAAAAAAATAAGAAAACATTGGACTCATTTCTGTCAAGTTGATTTATTCTATAATATAGAATAAAAGTAAATAATATTATCCTTTTTTTCTTTATTTTTTGTTCGTTCGTTTTAGTTACTAATCAATTATTTCATATCTATGAAATGAATCTAGAACTTAATTATAAAAAATTATTTTAAATGCATATTATATATCAATGAAGGGAGTTCATTTAGTTTATGATAAAAAACTTACAAAACAGAGGTTCCGTTGAATTTCAAGTATGGAATTTCACCAATAGAATACACCGGCTTACTTCCCACTTGAAATTGCACAAAAAAGACTATTTATCTCAAAAAGGTTTACGTAAAATTTTGGGGAAACGACAACGACTTTTAGCTTATTTATCAAAAAAAAATAAATTCCGCTATAAAGAATTAATTGATAAATTGGAGATTAGAGAGACAAAAACTCATTCATTTTGAAGTTGCATAGCTTTTCAAACCTATTATAGAGGTAAATTTAGAACAACAATATGGTTACTGAAACAATTAAAAAAGAATAGCTTGGGGTAGTGAATAGAAAGACATCATGTCCTTTTGTCTATTGATTCTTACTGTATAAATTTGAAGGGAGTATTTATTTAAAACTTTAAAACAATAGATTGAGTTAATTAAAAAAAGAATCCTTATTTACCCTATTAGGTAGTTTGTAGGTAGTTTGCGTAGTTATAAAAAAATGATAATATTAAAACATAAAATAATTTTTTTTTATTTTCAAAACCAATCCAGAAATCTATTGATTAGAATCCTTCTGAGAATTCATTGAGTCATATAGTATCTAAAAACCAAGTATCTTATAATTTTATATTGGATAAAAATAATATTTGGAGGATACTATATCGATAATTCATAAAGTTTATAAATTTATTCGTCCAATGGCACATTCTGTAAAGATTTATGATACATGTATAGGATGTACTCAATGTGTCCGAGCCTGCCCCACCGATGTTTTAGAAATGATACCATGGGACGGATGTAAGGCTAAACAAATTGCTTCTGCTCCGAGAACAGAAGACTGTGTAGGCTGTAAAAGATGTGAATCCGCCTGCCCAACAGATTTCTTGAGTGTTCGAGTTTATTTATGGCATGAAACAACTCGCAGTATGGGTCTCGCTTATTGATCTGGTCCAGAAAAGTATATTTGAATTCATTCTATTTTTATTGAACACCCGTGCTCTCAAATAGGAAATATTTTTATTTGAGAGCACGGGTTTCACAAATTTTTAGCTTTTCACGAAGTAAAAAATTAATGTCTTTTTTTATGTTCGCGAAAATGAACCATAAGTATGTAGACCTAATCCAATTAAATTGACTCCAAAATAACATATCCAAATAAGAAGAAAACCTATAGATGCCACAATTGCCGAAGTAGCACCTTCGAAAGTTCTATTTCTTCGAGTATGTAGATAAATTGAAAACACTATCCAAGTAATAAAAGCCCAAGTCTCTTTAGGATCCCAACTCCAATAAGATCCCCACGCTTGGTTCGCCCACAAAGCCCCCGAAAGTATTCCTATGGTTAAAAAGATAAACCCTAAACTAATAACTCGATAACTCCAATAATCCAATTCTTTACTTAATTGAATCTTATAAAAATTTTTAGCCGAAAAAATATAATTCATTTTAAAAATATTTTCATTTTTTCTAAAGGTAATGACCATAAGTGCTACTGATAATAAGGAGCCACATATAAGAGCTGCGTAACCCACTATCATCATACTTACGTGCATTATTAACCACTCAGATTGAAGAGCGGGGACTAATATTGAAGATTTTTTAATTTCTGTGAAAAGACCCGAAGTAGCAAAAGCCTGGATACAAAAATTGATTGGGCTTATTATTGTACTTAATAATTTTGTATTTTTTTTTAAATAGGAAAGGCTATTAATAAGAGCAAAACTCCAGGAAAGAAAAAGCAAAGATTCCGATAAATCACTTAGTGGGAAATGGCCCGACGAAATCCAATGAGTAGCTAATAATCCTGTTATACATAAAAAAGTTATGAAAATGCACTTTTCTGATGAATTAGAAAGTTTTATGTTTTCATCTACAAAAAAGATTTTCAAATAAATTTTAATTAAAATAGAAACGAGTATTATTGAAAGTGAAATATTAGTTAGTATATGTTCTAAGGTTGAAACTATCATAAAAATAAAAAAAAAATAAGATTTTAACTCCGAATTAGATAAGAAAAAAATGAAAAAGAACAAAAGATTACTCTTATTTTTTATGCCGCTACTCGGACTCGAACCGAGATGCGCTAGCACTGCTTCCTAAGAGCAGCGTGTCTACCAATTTCACCATAGCGGCATGTTATTTACTTTCACTCATATATTTCACCCATTTATAGAATTTATCGAAACGATAATTCGAGTGATGGGCGAACGACGGGAATTGAACCCGCGCATAGTGGATTCACAATCCACCGCCTTAATCCACTTGGCTACATCCGCCCCCGACTAAACTATGTTATTTTCAAAAAGGAATCAATAAAGGAGCAATAACCGATTTCTTGTTCTAGACAAGAAGGCGGAATTGCTCCTTTATTCTATTTTAAATAGATTCTCTATCTATATACTAAGAGACGAAGTCTCTAGCCATTTGTAGCTATAACTTGGATAGCAGCTAGGTCTAGAGGGAAATTGTGAGCATTACGT